ACTCGTGCCAGCTTTGTGCCGCTGATGGTGGCCAAGGGGACAGAGGAGTCCTTGAGAAGCTTTTCTGCGTGTTCCAAAAAAGCCACAATGCTCCCCCAGGATAAAGGATGATGTTGTTTGAGTGCCAGAAAACCTGGAGCTTTCTGGTCTACTGTGCCATGGCAAACAACAATGTCCCAGTCCGAGCGTGGATCCTGCAAGGACTGACGTGGAGGCGCCTGGGGGGGCTGTGGGAACAGAAGAGCCACAGATGAGGCCGCTGGTCACAAACAAACAGTCAAAACACTCCACTGTATTGCCATTTATGACTTAAATGTGGGGATTTGTGCATCTGAAATACATTCATACTGATTCTATCCATCAGCACCACGAATCCCAGCCCAGCTTTACCATCAGCCCCACGACAGCACAAAGAGCTCCGAGGTCACCGAAGATTTCTGAGCATTTTCACAGGAATAAATTAAATGCACAGAGCGATTCCTGATTTACCAAATATACAAATAAAGCTTTAAAATGTGAAACTAACTGCAGTGGTATTCTTGCACTGAGACTGCCTCCACCTTTCCTGCATATAAAAGGGAGAAAACTTGGAATAGAAATATTCACACCTTTTAAAAGAACTTTGTATTTATGGCAAATGGCTTTGATTTTTAATCTAGGTGCACTATTTTTAAACTGCTTTTAGGGAATTATTTTTATTTACATTAACATCTCATTGATAGAAATTCTTCCCAGTGAGGGTGGGGAGGCGCTGGAATGATTTCCCAGAGAAGCTGTGGCTGCCCCTGGATCCCTGGAAGTGTCCAAGGCCAGGCTGGATGATCTGGAGCACCCTGGGCTGGTGGAAGGTGTCCCTGCCCATGGCAGGGGGTGACACTGGATGGGATTTAAGGTCCCTTCCAACCCAAACCATTGTAGGATTCCATGATCTCCATTTCTCAGGTTTGCTTTCCCTTTGATTTTCAAATCTCTTTCATTTTCACATCTCAGTGGCACAAAAGTCAAAAGGTCTGGGAAGATCAAGCAAAACTCCAGAATATTGTGTTTGGTCCAGAACACAAAGCTTAGCCCTAAAAAGAAAGAAATGCCCCTTTTCCACAGGGATCAAGAACAATCAGCAGGCACTGAACAGTCAAGGTCAAACTCCCCTACAGTGCTCTGTAAATATGAAGGCAAAAACTACATTTGCTTAACTGCAGTGAGGGGGATTTAGATGAAACATTTAAAAACTCTTTTATAACAGTAGAGATAGTTAGTTAAGCACTGGAACAGATGGTCTAGGGAGGCTCTGGAGTTGCTATCACCCAAAGTTTTCAGAACAGGTTAGAGAAACATCTGTCTGCAATATTACAGGTACAGGTAATTCTGCCTGGAGGTCTGGATAACCTCCTAACATCCTTTCTAAACTTATTTCTTAAGATTGTGGATTCTTGGTTTTCTAAGAAGTGAAAAAAAGAAGAAAAAACAGACAAATTTAGGTAGAAGTCTCGAGAAAGAAGAACTTGGTAATACATGAACTAGTTCTTATTTTAGTTCCTATTTACTGGATTTGGTTCAAACCCTCCTGCAGCAAGTCAGTGATTTACAGTCACTTCCTCAACCAGCTTTGGTGAAGACAGTATTAAAAACATGAATAAAAACCTCATTATCCTGAGTGTCTGAGTGATCAGTTTAATCCAATACCTGTGTCTGAGAGGGAATCTGCCCCTCAGATTCCCCCTGCTGAGCTGGATTTGTCCTCACTGGCTTTGATTTCCTTGTTGAAGCCACGGAGCTGCTGGGTGGAGGAGGTGCAATGTTCCCTTGGCTGGAGGAAGATGTGCCATAAATTGCTTCCTTGGAGTTTGGGAAGGTGGTGGGGTCTGTATTCCCAGGGTCCAGCCTGCTGCTAATCTGCCCTGTGAAAGGAAAACACTGATTGCAGGATTCACTCATTAATTATTGCTCGTTCATTTAATCACGTGGCAAAAGAGAGGCTTGGCCAGCTGCTGAGGGTCATCATTTCCAGGAGCTCTGGCTTTCCATTGACACCAGTGCTCAGAGCTGCAGGTTCAGGTGCTCACGAGCTGAAACTTGGAACCCATGAGGATTCCAGAGATGAACAGGACCCAAAATCCTCACAGGAATTAAGAAATCTGGTTCCTGTTCAGCTGCAAGGCACAGGATGCTCGTGTGCATCTCTGAGCACCTCAGATTGTGAGGGAGGGCTCATCAGGCACCTCCTTCCCCAGGAGATAAACAAGGGCCTGGCAGTGAAGCTGGAGATGCAAGTGATGGTTGTTGGAGGTTTGTACTCACCTCCAGCTGATTTCTGTGCCTGCCTGTGGAATTCACGGGAAGGGGCTGCCTTGGGGACACCAGGAGGGGTCTGCAGAGTTACCTGTGCTGCTGGAAGGATGAGCCTTTGGCCAGTCAGGCTCAGAGCACCTACAAGAAGATGACATTCCTGAACAACTCACAGGTATTCCAGTTAGGAAAGAAAACGAATCAGTACAAAGGAAGAAAGAATTAAACAAAGGCACAGCCAAGTTCTCCATCAAAACTACAAAAGCAGCAGTTTTCTTTAACTCATTCATACCTTTCACTACTCAATATTTTACCTTCAAGGAAGGTGAGCTTTGCCAATAAAAATTGACAAATACATGAAAGGTGCTGTAACAGTGCTGATCCTGAAAGGGAATTCCATGGCTGTACATAATATATTGAATTCTATGCTTGGGCAGTGCAAGTTAAAAATGCAGAAGGGAGCAGAATGAGCCCATGTAAACACAATGGAACCATGAATAGGGACTGGTGGCCAACACAGGGCAAGGGCAGGTCTAGTTAAGACTGAATGATTAATAAACAGATGTTAATCATGACCGTTTGATTCATTTAGTCACAGAAGAACCTCCACCACACACAGAGCCTTTGCAGTGTTTGACATCCCAACTCTTACCAGGTGTGACCCACCTTTTGGGGTGCTGTGTCACCCACCTTTTGGGGTGTCCTCTCCCAGCTGGGGTAGGGGAGAATCCGGGGGTGGAAAGGCAGGGAAAGCACAAAGGGTGGCAGCTGGGTGGCCTTTCCCTGTCTTCTGACTGCACAGCTGGGAAGAGAAACAGAACTGCTTTTAACAAAAAGGGAAGCCTGGCATTTACAGAGCTGCACTTCTCTACCCCCACAGAAATAAAGAATAAATATCATTTCTGCTCTGAGAGGTTTCGTGAGGATTTAACAACTTTTCCTACTTATGAACAGGCTACAGTATCATCTACTGTCGTTACTTCAGCCATTTGTAATAAAGGTAATTACATTCAATTGATGCTGTGCAAAAATCAGTGTATCAGATACTAAAAATCACAAGAAGTTTACATTATATTCATTAAAATTAAGCAAACATGGTGTTTCTTGACTGAACAGCCTTTAAATATACAAAATGCATACTTGGCAAAGGTAGCAGAAGGAAAAAGGAACAGTGGATAGAAATGTTTGAACTTTACTGCTGACCTAATGCCACGTGCTGGGAAACTGTTTATTTGCTTTTTTAAATCATTATTTCATTATGAATGATTAATTACCTGAAACAACAATAAACAGAACAAATCAGAAAGCTGGGGAATATTAACAGATCTGAAAAGTGGGGAATAATGGTATTGAGCTCTACCAGAGCACACTGGGACTTTCTGCCTTAAAATATTGGCTTTTAATGACTGATTATTAAGTTTTTAGCACAATCCAGGCCACGACTGGGATCTTTGAGCACTGTTGTGTCATAATTAGTGAATAACATCAACCAGCAACCTTCTAGAAAGGCAGAAGAAATTCTAAAGAGCTGCTTCTCCTCCTGGCAGGGAAATGAGAGGGCTCAAAATCAACTATTCTAATTTTTCCTGCCCGATAAATCTTCCTGGCCTCATGTTCCAAGAAAAGAGAAATAAACACACAACAAAGGTTAACTTTTACACCAGTTGGCAAAGAAGTAGCTTGATACTGAGAAAAAAGAAATTATAAACCACATTTGCCTACTCCCTCTCACCCCAGCTGTTTGTTGAGGACACAAGAAAAATATATAAAAATGGGAAGAAATTTAATGAAAGGCACTCTTTTTCAGGCTGTTCTGTTGGATCAGGAAAGCAGCACTGCTTTCACTGCTGCTCTTATCCTAATTTAAACCCCAGGAGTTTTGTTATGATAAACAGCACAGATATATAGAGATACATATATTTTAATTGTGTTTATAGAGATGTAATAAGCTACAAAGAAAAGCAGTTCAGGTGCAGTGTGTGAGTTCAAAAGCAGCCTGGAGGCTTGGGGCTTTTTTTACCTGGAGACAGATTTAATTCTCCTTTAATTTCTATAAAGTCCATGGCAGGTGTCGTGTTAAAGCAAGGACTGATGCGACTAAAATGTGATTTAATCTCTCATTTCCACTGCCCAGTGCCACGATCCACCTCCTCCTGTATTCCAGGCAACATGCAGCTGTCCCAGGAGTTTCCCACCAAAATTCCACCCTATTTCCACGCTCTTCCCTGCCCTTCCAGCACCCTGCCTGCTGCACCTGCTGCCCCCCTGAAGAATTCCCTGAGATGGCAAAGCAAAAAGGTGACAAAAACTGCTTTAATCCCAGCACTTACTTTCACTAAAATGAAGCCAACGAAACCACAACAGAAGACTTTAAAAATAATATTAAGCACTGCAAGAAAAAGGCTTTATTTTTGGCCCCACTGCTCCATCAAAGGGATTTTAAAGCTCAGTTTTATAGGGCTGGAAGGGAGCACTTCATTTGCAGGGCAGACCGAGGCTGCCTTGCCTTAAAATATGCTTGGAGCGTGCTGAAAAACTATTTTTTTTTTCATTTCAAGTGCTTCTGAGTGTAATTAACCTGGGACACGAGAAAAACAATTCTATTACCCTTTCTAAAGTGTTTTTCTCCTGTGGATAAACCTCTCCCACTTTATTTTTGCCTTTTTTTTTTTTTTGCTTCATTTTAAATAGGGCACTTGTTGGAACACCACAGGGATTTTCTGATTAGTTCTCTATTTGTTTTCTTTTTACCCAGCAATATTTAACTAGAACAATGTCTCTCTTTTTTTTTTTTTTGGGTAAATATCTTTATAAATATGTTTTTCACCCAGAATAGACACTAGTATTAAATATATAGAAAATATGAGCATTGTGTGTCAAAACTACAATTTATCAACCAGGAAAATTGGATAGATGAGATTTGATAAGTAAATAGCAGAAAAATCACAGGGCTTGATAGTGATGGTAAAAAAAAGGTTTATACCAGAGTAATTTATCCTTCCATCTATCTCCTCCAAACTGCCACCTACCCCCATATTTTTTGTCCAGAAGTTCCTGGCAGGATTTGATGGACTGGATTTGATTCCCACTGGACAGGGAAGGAGGGAGCACAGCAAAATAAAATGAACAGAACTCAGGGCAGTTCTCACTGTGCTCGGGAAACTGTCAGCAAAGACTTTGGGGAGGGCAAGTTTAGCTGGAAACAATCAGAAACTGCACCAGGTCTCATCTTATTCTTGCCTACTTTAAGCTCCTAAAGTTACCCCAGATGGGGCTGAACTGTCAGTTTTCCACATGCTTGGAAAAATGCAGCTTGTCTCCCCTTCCTGACCCACCAGCAGCTTTCCCACAAACCCACCCCCATCAGAACCCCACCCTGGCAGGTGGGAAGGGGAATGGATGAGAACTCTGGAGGATCCCACAGCTGCTTTCTGCCAAGGCAGCAGGAGCAGCACAGAAGGAAGTGAGGAAGATAATTGCTGGCTTGGACTCCTCTACATTTTCCTTGTGGCAAAGGGCCAGATCCACGAGGGGGGAGAGGCAGGGATAACTTATTGGGATTCAGGGTGGGCTCCATCCCTGTCCAGAGACAGCTGCAGAGCAGCAGCCCATGGCATCCCAATCCGGCTCCAGCTTTGTCAGGGAATGCTGAGCCCCACCAGCACCAGCTTCAGCAGCTCTGGCTGCACCCCTGCCTTGCGAACTGACAGTCAATCTCCAATTCCAGCTGACAAGAACTGCAGAAAAACTTCAAACAAATGGTGACCTTTGCAAAGATTAATTTGTTTACCAACAGCACGTTCTCCGTTTGTCAGCCGAGATGGGGTGACCTTCACGTCCCCATTTCCAGGTTGAGGGGATGCTGACTGGAGTCATCTGTTAACTCCAGCTCTCCAATTATTCCCTTTTTATTTTTAGTGACAAGAGGATTTTATTAAATCACTGTGCTGCTTATTATGATTACACACCGTAATACAAACCCGAGCAGCTTATTTTGATTTACTGTAGTGGAACATCCATTTGTTTAAGTCTCATTCTGCTCCCACTGCCAAATTCTGCCTTGGCTGTAATTATGGCCAGATGTAGAGGTTTAAAACACAAGCAGGTTGGGAGCACCAAAGAGACACCTGATTTTCTTCTCCAACTCCTTTTGAAATGAGAAGAACTGCCCTTGCTTTAAGATTTGAGAAATCAATGCACTTTCAGGGAGAAGCAAGGATGCAAATAGTGAATAAAGAATGAATAATTGACGATATGATTAGAAAGGTTTTGCTCAAACAAGTCAGCTTAAAATCCATCCCCCCCCCCCAAAACACTGCCATCACCATTACAGTCACACTGGAGAAGATGCAACTCATAAAGGCTAGAAATCATCACCACATTAAATTCCACCTCATGAATAAATGAAAAGGTTCCTAAGTTTACAGCATAATATACATTTATAAGCAAACAAGGACCAGAAAGTGCCAGTATAATTCTGCAAGAGAACAGCAGCCCCTGCAAATGAAAGGTGGAGCTGTGAATCTTCCCTGCACTGCAGCAGGATGTCAGAATTATTCTTGCTGCAACTCAGATTGCTGCTCCTTTTGCTGGGTGCTCCCCGGGAAGTATACATATTTAATAATTATCCACTCCTCGTTTTTCATTTGTTAGCCACACATAGGCTGCAAAATGAAGTGGTGCCAGGGTGTGTTTCAAACAGAATTACAGCCCTCCTCTTCAAATAACTCCAGAACTTTGCAGAGAATGAGGCTTTCTAATCAGACCCCAAAAAAGCACAAAAGGGCAATAGTTAATTGTTCTTAGTTTCTATGATAAAACTCGGCATCAGCAACTTTCTAATACCAAAGAGCAAGCAAAGCCATTTTTTGTGAAACAATGAGCTCCTTCCTAGTAATTTCTCCAACTACTCCAAGGGCAGGACAACAAAAGCTCCGGGTAGATTTGTGCTCTCCCTTCCTCCTCACCGCTCAGACACCCTGAGAGCTCTGGGAACACACCCGAAGGCAGCCAAGCAAGCAATCAGTTTTTAATTTCCTTCCACGAGAGCCGTTTCGCCGGTGATTTTTTGGGGGAGCCGCTCCTTGACCCACGGACCCCCCTGGGCACGCGCGTGTTCCAGCAGCGCCCTCTGACGGCAAACACAGGGCTGGGACCCCCTGCCTTGACTATTTTAGCGACTTTTCACCTCTATTTGACCAAAAATTAACTACATTCCAGCCCTGCGGACCCGCACTGATTGCCGGTGGTTACTCTCTGTCATCGTGCTGCTGGGGATCGCCCTCAACCAAAAATTGACAGCTCAGCAGAGGATTTGGCAAATCCTAAACTGCAACGTTTTACCCCCCCACCCCAGGACACTCCAAAACATGACACTGAGCCACAGGATGTAAAACCAGAATAACAAATATAATAATAATAATCATCTAATCATTTTAATAGAAGAAATTAGAGATGAAATACCTGCTTGGGTTTTAGCCCCTCTCCCTGCCAGTGCCTCAGCAAACTGTAAATATGTATCTGAGAGCTTGACTCGTTTTCACTAAACGCTTGTAATTTAAGTCACCAATAAGAAGTTTTCTGTGCTCAGTGTCTCAGGGAGAGTGGTAAAACACATGGCTCTCTGCAGTAGGATAATATTCCTCTCTGTGAGTGTTTTAGAGTGGTTCTAAAAAGCTATTAGCCATGATGCTTTTTTCTAATTAACTCTGGATCACAGGGGTAGACAAATCACCTCTTAGTCTGGGCAACAGCTTTGAAAAAAAAAAAAAAAATCATTTTTTACAAGTGGCAGCTCACAACTGGGCCATTCACAGATCCTCTTGATGTTGTTTAAAAGCAAACACCCCAGAATATCTCTGAGAGCATAATATCCTATTCCATAAATTAAACCCTAGAAGAGCATCCCCGTGTGGGAGCATCAGGCATGAGGACCACAGTGCTGTGCTAAATTTGGGAACATAATTGATTTTCGGAGGGCTGCCTGTGCCTATTAAGTTATTTTTTTAAAAGCACACTTGGCTAAAAACGTCATTTTCACATTCAACCAGACACAAAAGGAAGGCTGTGCTCCAGAATAACTTGGGATCTCCAGGACATGGAAGTATCTCCAGATGGACAGAAAGGAGCTGAATTTGTCCCCCACGTCCCAAAGTGCTCCCTGCAAGGAGTGCAACTTCCCTCCCAAACCGCATCAGAAAGGCCATTTTTGACAATAAAATTCCTTTTACTTCTTCTTTGATCTTTGGGTCATACCCAAAACTCCACAAGCTCCAGTTTGCTCATCTCCTCCCCCTAAGTTTCCTGACAGACCAGGCACATTCTCAGGTATAATTTATACTTTTGCTGGATTGAGATCTTGGAACATTACAGGTTTGTTTTTTCCCCAGTATTATCACTCAAAACACCAGTGCCAAAAATTAGGAATTTCTGTGGTATTTTCACTTCAAACATTTCTCTTCTTTATGTTTAATACACATTAATCACAACAGTGCAAAGCAATGCATATAACAAGGCCAGAAATTAATATAAGTTACTTACAGGAGCAGATCTTTTCTTAGTTATGAGTGGCAGCCTGGTCTCATCATTCTGATGTTTTAAAGCAGCTTTATTTTCCACATTCTCTGGGACAAGCATGATTTTAATATCCATTTCCACCTGCTGCTGAAATACAGAATGGGCATAATCTTAAAATAACTGCACCAGGACAGAAGTGTTTATAAGCAGGAGTTGTCCAATAAATTTGCAAAATAATGATAAAAAAATCATGTTATTTGACCCCACACAGCACTGGCCAAACAAAGTGCTCTTATGATTAGATGGAAAACTGCAAGGATTACAACTACTACCCACAGATGCACTGTGGTCAAACTTTGTCCAATTACTGCCATTCCAAGTTCTGAAATTCCCACAACTTCCTTGGAGCTAAATCTGGAGTGGAAAGGCAGTGAGGTTTGATTCCCTGGGTCAGCACAGGTCAGGTGGTTTATGGACACCCCACCTATTGGGAGGGGGTTCCCTGGGCTTCCCAAAATGATTGTAAGAATCCAATCGACCTTGGCCACGTTTGCCAAAGAGTTTTGGATCCTGGAATCACTGACCTGATGGCCCAGAACAGCTTCTCTGGATCAGGTACAGCTCATGGACTCTGTGCACACAAAGCACTTGATTATCAGTAAAAGAGGAAGTCAAAAATCCTTATAATAACAACAATTAAAACACGGTAGTTCTCAATGCACTGCGTGATCTGCATGGAATTAGTTCAACTGTTCTCCTAATACACATTATTATGATTTAAATCCCAATGGACAGAAAAAAGACTTCACAAATTCCTTCTTTTAAGAAGTCCTTAAAGCACGTACTTTTTCTATTAAAGCCAGAAGTGATGCCCTGTGTTTTTATTGCAGCAGAAGTTTCTTAAGTTGAAAAGATTTTGGTTCATATTCTACCGCATAAACATAAAAATACATCTACGAAAATTCCACTTTTCACAAACAAAACATGCCATAAAAAAGTTCAAGAATCATTAGATGTGCATTTGAACGATTAAACAATTGCATTACTTTGTGAAAGCACTTAAAATGGTTTAATTTATTTATCTGCACAACATCTTCTTTTGGTAGTAATTACAAGCAGATGTATCAATGAGATGCTCGTTTAGATTTGGGGTTGTAAGAACAAAAGTTATTATCCAAGCCAATTACTCTTTTACCCACATGGCTGCACAGAGACAGAAAGTTCAATTTTCCCCTCCTCAGTGGTTTTCTGGTGTTTATTTTATTACTGTAGCACCCCGTTCTACAGAGGGGAAGCTGCTGCTGCCATGGAGAAAGGACTGGGGGGACTGAGCACCTCCCCAATTAAAACAGGAGATGATGATTCACACTGCAGAGTCCCCTCTCTGATAGGGAATGATCAGTGCAGGAGTGGGAGACACCTCTTTATGGTTCCCAGGCTTTATTAGGAGAAAAAAAAAAACAATTCCACCACAGCAGGGGAAAAAAAAAAAAAGATGAGAGGGACAGCGCTCCCCAAATCCCCCTGAGCTGGGTCTGCCTTCTTACTCTGCTGCTGACAGGACCCAGAAATAACAATATTAAACAACAACCCTAAGCCCACTCTGACACCTGTGGACAAGCTCCTGCCCACAGGACAAGTTTTGATGGGAAAACAGCCCCTGTGCTTATTTGGCTGCAACCTGGTTTTCCCCCAGCCCCTGCACACACCACCTGTGCCCCGTGCTACCCATCCCAGGGGGTCTCTGGCAGAGTAATGAGGGGTCACTTCAGACCTGAGAGCCGTGAGACCCCCGTGGTGCTGATCTGCTGCACATCTGGGCACTCCCAGGCTCCACAGCCACTCGAGGTGCTGATCTGCTGCACATCTGGGCACTCCCAGGCTCCACAGCCACTCGAGGTGCTGATCTGCTGCACATCTGGGCACTCCCAGGCTCCACAGCCACTCGAGGTGCTGATCTGCTGCACATCTGGGCACTCCCAGGCTCCACAGCCACTCGAGGCAGAACCAGCTGCTCCTGAGGAGCCCCAGCAGGAAGGGCCCTGGTGGAGAAAGAAAAACAGCGAGGTTTTCTTAAGTTGCTTTGATTTTGCCTATTAAACCCATACTACTCTCATCTGATTAAATCCCAAAGACTGTATTTTATTTACATCTGCACTCAGCAAAAATAAAGCCAGAGGAATTAGCAGAATGCTGCTTTATCTTCTCAGAACTACATTTTCTTTTGTATTGTTTCTTTACCTTAAAATAAAACCCAAATAGCAGATGACCAAATTAACTTCATCTAGGCCAACGCTCCCATTTGCTTGACAAGGTTCTGTTACCACAGTTTTTGTGTCTTGCTGCAATAAAACAGCTGCTTCACTTACCATTTAGGGGGCTCCTTTGAATTTACTTCTTTATTACCAGCAGAACAAATAGGTAACACTTGTCCATTTACAGCACTTAAGTAATTTTCAGCACGTTTCTGTTAAGAGGGAAAAAATAATGTTTAGATTACTGCAAAGGTACGAGTGATATTAAATTTAACTCAGTTAATTCAGCAATCCAGATCTCCACCCGACTGAAAAGTTGATAAACTTTGTGCCTCTGTTGGACTAAATATCTGATTTTGGCTGATGAACACAAGATCAGTTCATTCTGATGACCCAAAAAATGAAGCCAACATTCTGAACTGTAATGTCTGAGGAATCCCATCATTTGCTGACTGGAAAGGGATCCTGCAGGATGACAAATAAGCGGCTCCAAGCAAGACAGAGACTTTAAAAACTGAATAATCTTCTGTATCTGATCTGTTCTATTTTATTTTATTTATTTTATTATATTTTACTTACTCTCAGCCCAAGTTCAGTTCTTTCAGGTGCTGTTCTGAGGTCACTGATATCCACAGCTTCTACTGCTCCTTTCAGGTTGATATTTTCCATTTTAAGTTTGTGAAGGTCTTCTTGCACCTAAAAAGCAAGTTAGAAAATAAAAATTATACCTGTAACCAAGCCTCATGGGATCAGAGAGAAGGATTTAATCCAAATTAAATGCTTCTTAAACACAGGGGCAAAAATACATGTGACTTCCCATACTTCTGTGCTATTATAAATAAAACAATACAAAGCCAATTACTCAGTTATAGATTGTAGAAAAGATGGGGAAAAATCAATTCGAAAACAGACCTCACAAAGCAACGAGAATAAACTTCAGGACTGAGGTTTTCTGTTTCCTTACACATTTCACACTCCTCTCGCAGCACCGGGCAGGGACCTCAAAACCCTTAATAAAGGACTTCAAACTCGGGGCAGCCTTGTGAGGAAACCACATCAGCCCATGTCAAAACCGCGTTATTTACCTTAACCAAACAATTTCGAGGTCTCGCCGGGCTAAAACCCACAGCATTCAGGACGCATTTCCACAGCCCCAAGCCCTGACCCGACACCCACCGGCCGCCTCCTCCCCTCAGGCAGGAGCGGACCCCACGCAGCCCCGATCGCCTCAGCAACACCAGGGCGCGCCGCCCAGCCGAGGGGTGAGGGGGGCGCCGCGGCTGCTCTGCCTGAGCAGAGGGGCAGTCCTGAGGGGCCGTTCCGGGGCCGGAGGGGCCGTTCCCGGCCGTGCCGGACCCACCTGCCGGGCCGCCCGCCCCGCTGCCGGCGCGGCCATGGCGGCACCGCCTCACCCGGCAACGGGACGCGCTGCCCGGCCCGCACCATCCGCCCCGCCGCGGAGAGGGGGGTGAAGCGCGCATCGAGCCGGGGCCGAACGCGCTCTCGGCCCGGCTCCTCCCTGTGCCTCCCCCGCCGCTGGCGGGCGGTGGTAGCGGCGGCGGGGCGGGCGCGGCGCGGGCCATGGCGGCGGAGGCGGCGGCGGGGCCGCTGGCGCTGGTGACCAGCTGTGCCGCGGCCTTCGCGCCCGAGGAGCTCGTCAAACGTGAGTCGGGGCTGCAGCCAGGGCACTCGGCCTGCCCGCGCCCGCCGCAAGCGGCCTGGCAGCGGCTCCCACCCCCCCCGCAACCCAACCCGGGCCCTCAGCGTGGTTGTGATCCCGGCAGGGTCCCCAGTGCTCCGCTCAGGGTAGTTGTGCCTCCCTCAGGGTCGCTGTCCCTCGCCCTCAGGGTCCCAGTTCTGCCCTTCAGGTTTCAGTCCTCCCCACCTTAGGATCGCTGCCATCCCCTCAGGGGCCCCGTGCTGCCTTCGCGGCCGCTGACACCCCCCCTCAGGGTCTCAAAATCCCCCTCGGGGTCCCAAAATCCCCCTCGGGGTCTCAAAATCCGCCCCTCGGGGTTCCATCCTTCCCTCAGGGTCTCAAATCCACCCCCCAGCCCCAGGGCTGCCCCCCAGGCCCTTGCAGAGGGTGTCAGGGACCCCTGTTAGTGCTTCAAGGAAATAATTCGTTGAAGGGGGATTGTCTGGAGCCCGAGGTTGTGGTTTGTCCCCTCAGACACCAAGGTGTTCAGCTTTTCCCAGCCAGAACCCGCAGGGAGCCCCTACATCCCAAAATACACCTTTTTTTCCCCCCCTTTTTATGGGAATAAACCCTTGTAAGTTGTACCTGGACTATTTGAGAATTGCCTTAAGCAATACTTGTGTCACTGGGACACGTCAGTGGTCCCTGGAACAAGAGGGGGACACCAAAGCAACCCCAGTGCCTCAGGATTACGGGCAGGGAAAACCAGAAGCAAATTAAATACTGACCCTTTGCTTTCAGCTCCCCATTCATGAAGTGAACAGACCTTCAGTCTTGGACCTTCAGGATGGTGGAATTTCTGAAATTCCTCCTGGGTCTGGGCTCTTGCATTGGACCACTTGTTGTCCCAGTGCAGAAACACTAAAAGGGAAAACTAAAAAAAAAAAAAACCTCACCTGTTCTGCAGTTGTAACAATTACAATTCGTGTCAAATACACGGAATTTAGTCAGTAGGAAGTGGTTTTCCTGGAAACCCAGTATTCCTTTTCATGGCTTAAAAAGGGAAGAGCTGCTAATAGAGAAAACCATGGTGGGATTTTTGGTAATTCTAAATTCAGGGGGAATCCAAAAAGAAGCTGTTTAGATCTTTGTGCCTTTCCCATTACACGTTAGGACAGTCTTGCTTTTTAGGGAACTCATGAGCAGTTTGCTGTGCACACTTGAGATGTAGAACTTAACCCCCTCATCCCCTTTTCTGGATTTATTTTCATCTTTTGCTGAGTAGGATCTTACTCAGGACCCCACAGAGCACAGGAACTGGCTCCCTCCATCTCATTAAAGCACATTTTGAGACAAAAACCACAGTGCAAGGCCTGCAGTCAGAGGCTTCTCTGTCAGCTGAGTTGATGCTGAATTATTTAAGGATTCCACACCAAAGAATATTATTATTGAGTGTTGCTTATATTTGAGGAGAATAAGCAAATGGGAAGGAATTATTCAAGGTTCCTGTTTGATTGTTTTTCATAGTGAAATTAAGCAAGTAAAAAAAAAAATGAGTAAAAAGCTTCACAGAAATGTTACTTAATCTGAGAAAGTCTTAAATTTTAACTTCAGATTTTTTTAAATAGTACTCACTTTGGAATGCCTTGGCTTCCACCATTCCCAGTGCCCAACAACTTCTCTGGGTGTCCCCTGGTTGGGTTTCTTCACAAAAACATGAAAATCTTCCTGAAAGAAACAAGATGATTTACTAAAATAAATCCTGTAAGAACTTTAAGGTCCTGCTTTGTTTCACCAGTGAAAATAAATCAGCCCCATCCAGCAGAACACTGTCAAATATTCCAGGACATGCTGGTGGGGACAGGGCTGGGCTGAAGGGCTTTGGTGGGGTCAGACAGCCTGTCAGGACCTTCCAGGCTAATTCCAAGTCTTTTTCCAGTGTTTTCCTCCTGGAAAGGAGGGAATGGCTTGAGGATGAGGCAAATGTTGTGGTCCATTTGCTGGATATATTTTAATTTGTTTGAGTTTCTGTGGGATGCCCTGAATGCTTTAATTCACTGGGGTTTGTGGCAGAACAAAACTGTTTAAAGTTAACACCATAGACAGGTCTGTCTCATTATTATTGTGATATATTTATCACAAATTAAACCAGCAAATAAGAGTGTTTCAGTTTTTAAAATGCTGACCAGCAGATAAATCCTGCCCGATGTGATTGTTTTCCCTTCCCTTTTTTGACTGTTTACCACTCCCCTCCTCCCCCCCAGCATATTTGGGGTCTCTTTGCTCTTTGGTGGAGTTTTTAGGAGTATTTTTTTATGGTTTATTCCACCAGGTGGCTCTCAAGGCCCAGAATGTGGGAACTACTTGGAATACCTGAGAGCTCTGAGGATTTGGGATCACTTGAGGGGTTGTAGGAGGTTGATTTGTGTTTTACAGCGTGGATTCAGTCTGAAGAACTCTAGGAAGAGAAATCAATACCTTAACCCCTCTGGAAAGAAAAAAAAAACCTGCAAAAAATGGTTGTAATTATTGCAAAAAATATTCCTACTAAACACAATGTGGTTGAAATGCTTAAAAATATCACTTGGATATTAGAGAAGAGGAAATTGCTGCAAGAGAGCTACACAGGGGTGTTTGATTATTATTGATAATATTGATTATTCAGCTTCTCTGAGAAGTTTTTTCTGGTCTCCGGTTCTCCTTTTGGAAAAAAGTGTTTGCACTGAGCCTCAGTATTAAAAAAGTGAATGGATGTGAGGTTATAGAGCTTTGCCTTATCATCTAAATCATGGTTTAATTTACCTTGTCTATGTGCAAGAGTATGAAATTAAAATACAGGTCATAGGAAATGGGCCATGTCCTCATGCTGGCACTGCTTTGAGGCCTACATCTGTCCAGGAACTCTTCAGCAACAAAAAAACAAATCCCACAAAGCAAATGTGAGACTCATACCAGCTTTTGAAAATCTGTTATAAGAAGTTCTTTCATTTTATGCCCTTTCTAGGGGGAATAACTCACCCAGGTGATGTTTGAGCTGATTTCCTTTCCTCTCTTTGGTTTTTGTTGCTGATTTTCTGGGTCTCAGTAATTTCTGCACTCTCCTTTATTCTAACATTGATGTGCAATTCTGTTAGCTCAGACTGACTTTTAGTTCATTACTTATTTTGAACTGTCAAAGCCCAAATGAAGGGAAATTTATCCAACTTTAACCTGGACAGAGCACATAAATGTGGCCCTTTTTTTTTTCCCAAACCCAGAGAGGAGATTGCTGTTTCATCCTCCTCGGTAGGAAACAGCCCCAGGTTTGTGTTTGTGAGGTCCAATTTCTCCCCCTCGCTGCTGTGACTAATCCTGGTTTGGAGCTCCCCCTCCCTGCCTTGTACACTCTGTTCATTCAGACTTTGCAGTTGGTTGCAAAAATCATTGACCCTTTCCATGGCAACCTTGGCAACAGGCTTTGCCTGCCTTGTTATTAATAAGATACAGATAAATTCAGGTTCGTGTCCAGGCTAGCTGGGGAACAGGCTGTTCTTACAGCTCCAGGAGCTGCCTCTCAGCCCTTAAAATACAACCTTTAAGGTCCTTGGAGAGCTGGGTGCTTTATTTCCTGAACTCCTCTGATGCTCGAGGCACCTGTGAGGGACTCAGTCCATTTTGTAAATCATTGCCCTGTGCTTTCAGGTGACCAGGAGCTCATCCAGCCTGAGCAAGATATTCTGCCCTTTCCCTCCAGGTGTGGATGGGATGCTCTGCTACAAACCCTAATTCCACCCCAGGAGTGTGCACAGGGAAGGTTCCCACCTGGAAGGGCAGTGTTTGACATTATCTTCCCAAACACTGCCTGGGATTTTCATTGAACTCCTACATGGAATTTAATGGGAATCACAACCCAAACTGGGTTCATTTTCTCATCTTCAGGTTGTCAAACAGTTCTTTGCATCTCACTGACTGTGTGTGGGAAGGTTGGTTGTGCTGTACCCAAGTCCAGCTGTTCTCTCCATAAATCCTGTCTACAGGCAGTGAGTTGAACACTTTAAAAAAGGCATTTCCAAGGGGAAAAAAAAAAAGGCTTTCTGGAGAGCTGCTATGCCATGCCTTATTTTGGAAACTAGAAAGCAAACTTTTCAAAGCTGAGTAATAAAATCTAGGACAGAGTAACAAACTGAGTTGAATTTGTGAAGATCTTGAGCACAGACTGGTTCACTACAGCAAGTAAAGATGGCCCTGTGCTGGCACTGTGCTTTTCTAGACAGATTATTTTCCTGATGCTGCTTCTATCACCCTCCCCATTTCTTTTCTCTTTCACAGGTATCACAGGGAAAGATGACCTGACTGTGGGGGCAGTTACAAGTGGCAGAGTGACTTTTTACCCCTGGACAATAGATAACAAGTACTACTCTGCAGATATTCATCTCTGCGTGGTGCCAACCACGTTCCACGTTACTGGAGAGATTGCTGAGTCGGTGCAGGCATTTGTGGTGTACTTTGACAGCACAACAGTAAGACCCTTCTGCTTCATTTTCTTGCTTTCTGTGTATGATGTGGCTGCCTTATCACACTGATAACCATCAGTGGATTCTCCCTCTTGTGCCATCCCTCCCCTTGAGGCTGTGCTGTTAATTGGGGGGAGATCACTGTTACATTATGCCTGTTAGCAGCAGCAGCAGTTTCCTCCCCTTTTACTGCTGGAAGAGAGGTTTTTGTGATACAAATATGCCACTAAGTTAGGCAGATCCTCTTCCAGTGTTATTCCTAGCTGATGCTGCTTTGGGAAGGCTCCTTTAGGAGAGCCAAAAATGAGGGA